ATTACTTTTTTTTTAAGGATTAATAAGGAGCAATAATTGTCGTAAATTTTAGAAATTTACGACGACAGGATTGAAACGGTAATATTGCGCTAATAAATTCGAAGATTTAAAGACGTGGATTCCGGAAGCGACTATTCAAGCTTATAGGATTCGCCGGTGATAATTTCGCGAATACAAGACTAGGTGGCGATAACTCTAGGATCACGGAGTATGGTAATGACACTCGTGGGGTCGTACAAATGGATAATGCTAATTTTCAGAGCTTAACACTGCCAATTATATGGCGCCAAGATTTAATGCTAATTATTCCACATATATATATTTATCCAAATTCTAAATATAAATTCGAGTTTCATCATCAGAGCCAAAACAAGACGCAAATCTTTCTTCTCATACTCGTACTTGCTTAAATTTTTATTAACGTTAAACTCTCGTAAGTTCGAGAGTTTAAAACTATACACCAGGATTAAATTCGAACAATTCGAGCGTTTATCTCGCGTCCTCAACGCATTTACAGAAAAACGGTGTGTTATCTTTATACGGCTTAAGGAGTATAAAAACGGACGCGAATTGATCACATCTGCGACCCGTTCACCGATGTAATTAAATCCTGCAAACATATCGTCGAATCGTGTAAAAACAGAGGTGACGAGTTAATCCGCGCCTGCTCTTCTTATTTATTTTCCATCCAAACGACGAAGGATTGGAAAAATCTTTATCATCGTTCATCCATCGTATCGATTATTTTTTTATTTTAATATTTTTTCTTTTTCTTATTTGATTTACAGATACTCGAATGCGTTATATGGACACGGAGGGGAGTATGCACGATGGCATGATGGGGAACAACAATTGGGTGCTCGGTGATCTGAGAAGCCTTCATCGTTGCGTGCCAACCTTTCGTCGTCCAGGTAAACGAATATTTCTTCGATAAAAAAAATTTGATCCCAATAATTGTGATAAATCGCAGTTCAAATCCAATATTTCGATATGGTGGAAAAGTATAAGTTGACAATAAACGGAAGGAGGAAGGATAATAATAAAGATGGCTAATCTTCTTCCCCTCAGGCATAGACGGTATGCGAACGCATTTCTATCCAGAGGGTGGCTGGGGGTGGTTGGTCTGCGCAGCTGGGTTCCTCGCCCTGTTGCTCACTACCGGAATGCAGCTCGCTTTCGGGCTTCTTCACGTTCACGCCGTGAGACGATTCGGCGAGGAACATCTCATGGATCTTGGTATGTTTTTCATATGTTACGCGCTTTCTCCAGTCGCGATTTTTTTCTCCTTTTCTCTCCATCTCTGTGATACATGGTACGTAATTTTCTGATATTGATCATTGATGAAATCATTCGAAGAAAATTATGTACTTTGAACTCCTTTGCCTTATAACGACATATTAGATTTCTAATCGAAAAGATATCGAATTTTATTCTTTATTCAAAAATATTCTGAATATTTTCTCTTTACTTTAATTTTACTTTAATGGATAATTTTTGAATAAAATTATCTCGTCTAGATTGTAAGGCAAAGGGTTAATCATCGAAGAAATTAAAAAGAGAAAAAGAAAAGTCTATTTTACGATCCAATAGCTGCCCTCGTTGACTTTTTGCGATGAAATAAGAGATAAGAGAAACGTGTTTCAACGACGCTTGAACCTTCAAATCTTTCCCTCTCGACGGGCGGAGAAATAAGTCTAATTAGCGCGAAGAATCTCTACTACAAACTCTTTCACCCTTTTTTTATTTTTTTTTTTACCCCAAATCGTCCCCACTATTCCATCTTTTTTTTATGGGGCACGAGCACTTCACTTGTAATTGAAACGCAAGCACACTTATAATTAAAATGGTTTCGAGAAGTAAGCCAGCTCACGGCGAGAGGAGGAGCATTTGCTTTGAAGCAAACGAGCGGGGAACCGCGATTTACTTACTTTCTCGTCAAAGATTCATACGCAGCGACAAGGGTTAAGCGCTATCCCTTCGCGGGATTGATACCACGATTCCTCCCTAATCGCATGAAATTTTCATTCCCTTTCCTCGAATCGATATCCTCTCGATTTCGATCGCGGAATCAATTGGCGAAATTGATTTTTCATTCGTTCAATACCTCATCTGGTTAATTAATTACATACGTTGAAGTTATATACGGGAAAATGGTTTTTTAATTCGAAGATGTGTATTATTCCCGAACGTTGCATCACGGTTTCCATTTAATCGGATTATTTGCATCAAAATTTTTATTTCATCCGTAAATCCGATTCAGACGATCATTCGAGATTTTCAAACCTTTTAATTAGAAAGGAACTGTCTACCGCTATTTTTGAAAAATTAAAATACCACCTCGTTCCAAAATCTCAAACGAAAATAATTTTCTTCCTCTTCTTCTCAACGAAATCATTTTGCATCCTCGCTTCGCCCCATTTCGCGCGAATATAATTCTCGATTCGTCCCATTTGAAAAGAAATTCAAAGATATCGAATCATTCCCCTGAATCGTAAACTGTGTACCGCGTTTGTCGTCTCGCGAATGAATTATTTGGCGGAGACAGGAGCGCGAGACAAAAGCAGCCGTCGTCCCATTGGCCGACCGGCCGAGATCCCCCGAGTTTCCCCAGGGATTTCGAGCGTGTCTTACGAACACCGGTGAGAAAGGATCTTTCTTCCGAATATTTCAAACGTAAGTCCTCCCCGCCCCACCGAAAAACGAAAACCTCCTCCCGCGGAGGATTTATTCTCTCGCCGAATCCTCCCTCTCTCTTCTTCGTTTTTTATTTAATAATGACAACCGAGTTGAATTTAAAATAATTCTTTCCCACTTGTTCTTTCCTTGCCGAGGGAAAGTCTCGAGGAAAAGGTAATCAAGGAGGAAAGAGGAGAACACTTCAGGTGAATTTCGTAGTTCGTTTTCGTGGAATTGGATCGAAGGAATTTCTTTTTTTTTTTTTCCTTTTTCTTTTTCGTTTTTTCGAGAAAGGTTGATGAGAACTGAAGGTGTCGAGAATTTTATATAGTTTGGAGAGGAAGTTTCGTTAGGGTGTTGGCGAGGAAAGATGATTGTTTCGCGTAAGTTTCCATCTTTTGGTGGAAGGGAAGTGTCTTTTATTGCAGTTTTGCTCGTGAATTGTTTAAATATATATTATATATTTTTTGAAATAGTAAGAACGATTCTGAACTTTTATAACTTGCCTCGACGAGTATCAATTTTCGAATCTATCCTCTCCCTCACCGCATTTAAAAAAATCCAAGAAAATTCGCACTTCGTACACTTTCCATCCCCCATCCCAAAAATTATCGAAGTAATATTCTTCGAATTCATCGAATTCTTCACCTCCAAACTATTTCCAAAAATAGCAACTTCCCCCCTCTAATTAACCATCTAATCTAAAAATCAACTAACTAGCTCACTCTCGTATCCTAAACCACTCAACCTATTTTTCTTAATTAACATCCATCCCCCTCTTCACAGCACAAATATCCCTCCAAGAGATCGTAACTCGAACCAGGCCGTGTATTACACAATTTAAACTGCTGTTACCGCATAATGTACCCATTAACCCTTCCCTTTGGCTGCTATCCCACCCCCGAGGGTCGAGGAGAGGGGATATTAAGGTCGGTCGTTAAAAAGTGGCCCCTGACAAACTTCGAGAGGCCGAGATCACCTAAGGGAGAGAAGGAAAGGAGCTTCTTTTCCGGCCGACGACGACAACGTGAAATACGGAAGTCCCTCGATAGGTCGAGGGTTTATTTAAGGGTTAAGGGCGGAGAAATAACGGTCGCCGAGGGGGCCCCACGCTCGAAAAGGAAAAAGATTCGACGGTGGTGGGGAAAATTGCGTCGGCGACGGGTTGATAGATAAAGGCGGCCGGGCTTATCCGTTGACCTACTCCACTTAGTTATCTGGTGTACATGATAGGCGGCGGCCAAGGGTTGAAAAGTTGGATCGATCGATCGATGGGGATCGATTGGGTATTATTTATCGGGCGGTGGTTTTCCGCATCCGTGGTAATTTATGGCCGCCGCAAAAATTACAGTATATTTCAATGCACACCGGCGGACGCTTAATACAACGTGACGCCTCCGCCTCGATCAATCTTCCGTGAGGCTGTGGCTCGAGGATTGTTTCGTAGCATATGGTGTGAGCCAGTGTGGAATTCCGATTCGTACGATATGTTGAGCTGGATTTGGATAAG